ATAATTATTCCTCGTATTTTTGGTTTGTATTTTAAAAACGATATAGTTTACATGAAATATACATAATTATACAGTTAATAAATATAATATAAAAGGGAAATTAAAACAACTTTCGTTGCACGTCATCAATGACACCATGCGTCGTCTTATGGAGTTTGCTGGTGGTCGTATTATGATGTGCAACCAAAGTTTTAATTTCCCCATATATACCTATTTATAGTAATAAATACTTTGGCAAATAAACTATGAACCATACAAATGCAGCAAATGTTTTACAATATACAAATAATGAATAGGTACATAAGATATTGGGTAAAATTTAAAATATATTTTAAATTTGGGGGTTTGAAAATCGATCTAATTTAACAAAAAACATTCAACATCTAGGTACTAATAGTGATGTATTATTATTTATATTCACAAAATTTATATGCATATTTTGCAAGTATCAATGTTCCAAAAATTATATTTGGAAATAATACAATATCATAGAAAAAAAAGGCGTCAGCGATGGCTATGAAATAAAGATCGCTGTCATTTTATATGTAAAATTATTCTAAAGTTTTTGATTTTCTTGGAATTTAGGTTCGGAAAAAAACGCTGATTAAATTTTCATTTGGTTTCGGCTAACATTATAGCCTTCATCAGTGTTGTGTCATATGAAAAAAATAGTGTCGAATATAATCCAAAAAATTACATATAAAATATACTAAATATATATGTTACTGTAAATGTCCGAAATTCGGTAAAACCTAGGATTTACCAAAAGCAAGTGGTAGTAAAAACCAACCAAACCCACCAAATAACCACCTAACCAATGCATTAACACCCCCCAAATAACCAGGCTAACCAATGCATTAAGACCCTCCAAATAACCAGGCTAACCAATGCATTAACACCCTCCAAATAACCGGGCTAACCTAATTAGTTAATGCTTTTGGTAAATCCTAGGTTTAGCGCGGTTATCCTAGGTTTTTTGCCGCATTTCGGACATTTACAGCAACATATACATTTAATAATTAAAAAAGAAGAAAAAAAATTTATATGTAAAATATTTTATACATTTCCCTCACTATTTCTTTCTTTTTCATTTTATTAATTACATATTTATTAATCCGTAGTATCTAACTAGCGTGAGGTCATAGATCTCGCTCCGAGGCTAGGCTCCGAGGCGAGGATCCGAGGCTCCGAGTTCTATTAGAGACGGCATTGCGTCAGTATGGCCGCAAGTTGCTAACCTAATAAAATTACCACTAGAAAAGCCCGCGGGAACTGTCAAATTCAAAGTTATTCGTTTCACAGACTATATATTAATTTCCTGCTATGCGTTCCAGTTGTAGCAACTTATTTCTTTATAAAATAAAATAAACTATTTTGAAATTAAAATGACAGACACATGTATCACTGTCAAGGATCTTGTCGTTGGACAGACTATAAAAGTTTAATTGATATGAAATATAGTTGACTTACACTATAACTAGTTGTCAATTAAACTTAAACATTTTCTAAAAAAATATTTTTTACTAGTTTATCACTCTAGAACATATGTATAAAGTAATTTTATAAAGTAAGATTTACACAAGTGTATTTTATTTCTGTCGTTTAAACTGTTCGTTTTATTACAAACATTTTACTACAAAATAAACAGTCCTATTTTCCTTGTTTAAATACACTCCTTAAATAGGAAGCTATTATCTTTATTTTGATTTGATTTAAAAAGTATTATAGGTATAAAACAGTAATAGAAATTCTGTTTATTCCAAGAAACTTTTAATATCCCTTTATTTGCATTTTTATTGTTAACTAGTAAAGCCTTTTATTGACGTAAATAAATTTATAGTACCTATTATTTGTTTTATTTGCAATGTTAAGTTCAACATTTCAAAAGTTTTAATTTTATTTTGTTGGAAGTTGGGATTTCTTTATTCTTCAATTAAACCGAAATTGCCTAAAGTATGTTTTTATTTTTATCTACAACCGTTCAGTTATAACGTTTTTACATCACTATTTTTTTAGTATTTCAGTTACGTTATGAGATTCATAACACAACTAGTGGTGTTATGAATCTATAACACAACTAGTTTTTATAATAATGAAAAACAACTACGAACATCTAAATATATTAACTTTTCCGGCAATAATGATTCCGTGAACTTCTACATCTGAAGGGAGACTTTCGGAATCGCTCATCGTAATTTTTTTCAAAAAGTGCTCGCGTTTACTTGGCAGGGCAAACTGACTTTTCAGAAAGAAATGTGACAAATGTCATAGTTAAAGGTGGGCGACTAATAAACGAAAATTAAAACAGCATTTTCTTATTTTTCGGTTGTAGATAAAACGTTGTACATGCCACGTGCGTTTAAACATGATTAAAACACTCGTGTGATTTTTTCTCGGTCTACGACCTCGTCGTTCTAATCGTTCACACTCATTGTTGTAATCATGTTCATAAACACACTTGTACTGTAAATAACTATAACTGTTTATTTTATAATTGGCATTTTTTACAGATTTTTTATAATGATGGTGAAATATTGATATTGATATAGGCGTCAATACATATTATACAGTATGTCCGATGATGGGGTAGACAATAATAGGACTAACAACAAGAATATTTGTATTTAAAAATACGATTGTCGATGGAAAAAAATAAAAATTGTATATAGGGTGTTGAGTTTAGGATTATAGAATGTAGAACGTTTAGGAGGGGACTTAAAAGAGGAGGACATCTCCTCAAAAATACAGGAAGTCTTAGATGCAATTCACGGCTGGTGCACACTGGAACAATTAAGTGTAAACCCACAGAAAACCGTGATCATACCATTCACTAGAAGAAGGAAAACAGACAAACTAAAACCGCCCACTCTTCTTGGTGAGACAATTCCGTTTGCGGAGGAAGTTAAGTATCTAGGATTAAACCTGGACAAAAAACTTAGTTGGAACTCCCATCTGGAAAAAATATCAAAAAGGGCTTGCTATGCTCTATGGGCATGCCGCCGAATTTGTGGTAGAAACTGGGGATTAAACCCCAAAAATATGTACTGGCTATACGTGACAGCCATCAGACCTATTATCACGTATGGCGCATTTGCTTGGTGGCAGAAAGCCAACCAAACAACGGCAAAGAATAAACTGTCAAAATTACAACGACAAGCATGCTTAGCGGTGACTGGTGCCTTTCATTCTACGCCTTCAAAGGAAACCCTACTCGACTTACCTCCTCTTCAAATTATTTTGGAGAGGGAGGCGAGATGGGCTACATATAGGTCTCTAAATATGGCACGAGAGAGCCAAGGAACAATCATGTTCATACAAAACCGACTAGTAGACGAACTACAATCGGATGAGATTCTGGGAATGGTCTCGGATCTCACACCACCAATCCAACTCTTGACGCGCACCTACAACGTCCTGTTTCCGAATAGGGACGAATGGGATAAGCCGAGAAACGGCTTATTATTTGCGGAAATGTGTTGGTACACGGACGGATCCAAAAACGATAAAGGATCTGGCGCAGGAATTTACTGCAGCAGTCCAAAGACTGAGATCTACCACAATCTTGGAAAACACACCATTATTTTCCAAGCTGAGCTATATGCGATTGAAACCTGTGTGCAACTGCTGGTAGAACAGCAATACACCGGGAAAACAATAAGCATATTTTCGGTTAGTCAAGCCGCGTTGAAAGCACTTGAGGCAACGAAAAGTACGTCCAGGACGATTCTTCATTGTAAGAAACTACTCAATATATTAGGAGATGGAAATAAAGTGTCGCTAATATGGATACCGGGACATGTCGGCCTAGAGGGAAATGAACGTGCTGATTTCCTCGCCAAAACTGGTGCAGGCTCGCCTTCGTGGGCTTCGTGGGCCCAGAACCGACACTTAGCGTACCAAAAAATCACGCAAGAGACAGGCTCTGTGAATGGGTTAGGGGTGTAACGCTTCGGGACTGGTATGACAGTCCCGGAATGGAACATGCCAAAACAATCCTAGCAGGACCATCCAAACGTAGAACAGATGAACTCCTAAAGGCTGGTAGGAACGGAGCGTGTACGCTTACTGCAGTATACACGGGTCACTGCCGGCTGAGATCACACCTACAGAGGATGGGACTGGTGGAAGACGCTGAATGCCGACTCTGTATGGAAGATGACGAAACAATGAAGCACGTTATGTGTACCTGCCCCGCCGGGGGCAGGACCAGGTTTGAGGCCTTTGGCAAACCCACGCTAGACTTATCATACCTAGAAGACATATCACCCTCGGACATAACGGCCTATGTTAAAAGGCTGGGTCTTGAGGGCGAACTTTAATGCTCTTTTTCTATTAAAGAGCTTGTAAAAACTGAGCCACAATAGGCCCTCGCGGCCTCAGTGGAGGATCCTACCTGGGACTCACTCTTAGTAAAATACAAATACAAATACAGGAGGGGACTTAATCACCGCGATCTTACAGATCTATTGTGTGTTCTCCTCTTTGAGTTATAGCGGGTTATAACTCATCATACAGTCTCAGTGCTTTGACAAAAGCCAGTATCTGAGACGGCCCCACAGAGGCCAGCTCTCCATATTCAACATAAGCCGTACTAAAGTTTATGGCACAAAGGTTGTCGTCTCGGCGCATTCAGTGATAAGGTGTTTTGGTGTTTCCCCATTTTCCCCACAAAAGCTGCATTCGTCGTTGTTTCTCAGCTTCAATCTGCTGAGGTGTTCGTTGTGGAAACAGTGTCCTGTTAGAAACCTCGTGACATACCGTAGATAGTAGTTCAGATTAGTTAGTAACCTTTAGTTTAATCTTTTCAGCAAAATGGAGTTTAAGAAAATTGTTTCAAATCATCGCATGCTCTAAAATATTAATTTTTATTATCTTTGGATGGCAATAATTTTTTAAAATATCCATCTCGGAGCTACTAATACAAAGAATAATAAAAATAAATCACAATTAATTAAACAATCAGTTCTTATTAAAGAAAAAACTGACAAAAAACTACTTACCAAATATTTTCAAAATTTTGTTTCACCCGTTTCTTAACCGAATCACTTTTTCTGCGATACTGCAGTCGCCGACATTCTTCACTTGATAAAGGTTCAGGAAGTTCCTTGTAGAACCCTGAAAAGAAAATAAATAATGATGAAATTTAAGTTTAATAATAAAATTCAATTCAAGAACATTATTTGTTGTTAACTTGGCTTATTTTAAGATTTCGGTGAATGCTTTTCTTATTTATCTTGCAATGTTCGTATGTAAGTAACTTGTAAAGCTGAGCGCGCACTGGACAGGTACCGGCGCGACCGACTGACACGACCGATCCAAAAGTCGATGCTAGCCGCGCATGAACTCGCACGATCGACGGCCGAGAGTACGTCACCAGCATATATTTGAGCATAGACGAGGAGAAGTTTATTTAAATTTAGTTAAATTCACTCGGTATTTATTCAAATATATTATAAAGTATTATTATTATGTATATTTTCATGCAACTTTTTATATTTTATGCTTTATGATGGAAATTTATATTAGGTATTTAGATCTTAACAAACCACATAAAATTAGTAAAATAGAGTGGAGGGAGTGGGGAATAGAAATAGTATGGGAAAAAATACTACATTACTCTTTATGCGGTGCATGACCAATTTTAATAAATTTGGTGCCATTTAAAAGAGCTTAATTTGTTCTTTAAAAACAAAGCTAGACATGAAAAATAGTTAAATAAAACTTTTATTTCTAGTTTTTTTATAATAACTTTTACTCTCAAAATTTTATTCAAAACGCTAAAAGTACTTGGAAGAAAATTATAATAAATCGAAAAAATATTAAGATTTTAACACCCTGTAGCTACGAAACAAAGCAGAATCTATGTTGGTATGAAAAATAAATCTTATATTTACGTAAGGAATCTCCCCACGAGATATGGCACATGTTTTTTGAAACACCCTATATATGTTTTATTTAAAAAATTTAAAATTGATTATTACTATGGAAAAAAATGACAATGGAAGTCGTTTTTATTTTTGTATTAATACTTAAACTTAATCTTTGTCCAAATCAAAGAGACAAAAACTTAAAATTAATTTTATACATTTATTCGCCATTCATTCAATAAAGGTTCCGTAAATATCAGAGAAATTAAATTAAGAATAATAAAACTGTCTAAAACTTTGAACACGCTTAAGAAACTGAACTGGGAGCCAAGATGACACGACAAATTGACAGATCAGCTTTGTAGACCGAAAATTTCGGCAAAGTTTATGCTTAACTCGACAGGTTAAAGCATACCGAAACTTCGAGAAACACAGATTTGTTTTTACCTTACAATCAACTCTATTAACGTTTTAGTCGATTCTTTAGCTAAAATGTCAAACTTTAGTTTAGTTAAAGTTTTATTAAAAATTAGTTACAAATGCATATTTGAAAATACTACAGATACAATATTTGCAAAAAAAATCCCCAATAAGTGATGTAGAACGTAGATCACTGTATATTAAATATAATAATAACAATTTTAAATATTTTTTTAATAGATGTAAAATTAGACCAATAATTTACTGTACAGGGTGGGTCAAATTCGACGCTTTTAAATGGAAACACCCTTTTCTATAGGAGATAGACGAAAATTAATATCGGTGTCTGGAGCTCAATTTTTATTAAAAACATGGTGTTGAAATCCGCACATCAATATCTGCTACCGTTTCGAAGTTACGGGGTGTTTTTCAAAAATAAGCATTTTTAACAAATAACTGTAACTTTTTTGCTATGGAAAATTTTGTATTTCTATGAATACATTTCCAAAGCACCTTTTTACGTAGAATTTAATGGTTTAAGTATAATTTTTTTAAAATTAATAATTTAAGAGTTATCAACAGAAAAACTGATTTTTTATTTGGGACACCCTATATATTTTTAATTAACGGAAGAGAATTTAAAATTACCTTTTCAAAAATATAGCACACTTGATATTTTGTTATAATCCCCTTCGCAATACAGAATTTTTAAAAGCTCGCCACTTTTAACTAGTAGGCTTTGGACCCCTTATTGATGATATGCCTTTAATGGAACTAGAAAACATATTTTTCCAGCAAGACGACGCATCACCTCTGAACGCTGAAGTTATCAGCAAATTTTTGCAGCCAATTTCAAGAATAATTGGATAGCTAACCAAAATCTCAGCCGTTGGCCGTCGAGGCCGCCTGACTCAGTACCCATGGATCTAATCCTATGGATATATTTGCGGAAGAATAAAGGTCCCTTATTCTTCCGTATAATCTAGACAAGAATTAAAAATACTTAGCAGTTATGAGAGGGTATCTTTCACCCCCACTGAGTTAATGAATACCGCGAGAAATGTTCAAAAACTGCCACGTCTGCCCATAACAGAAGACGGTCGATATGTCGAACACCTGTAGCAAAAACTCATGTCTTGGTTTGCTACTTATTTTTATTGTTATTAGATATAGTTTAAATGTGTTGATGTTGGTTAAATATATTTTAAATTGTTATAAAATTCTGCATCTCTCATAGCAAATATTATTTTCGTTTTAATTGATGCTCACAGCTAGAATTTTTTTGCATTACAGCCGGTGCCGTTCAAAGCCTACTTATTTAAAGCGGGCGAATTTTTATATACTCTATATCTCGAAGAGGAATCGAGCAAAATATCAACTGTGTTAAATTTTAGAAAAGGTAATTTTAAATTATTTACAATAAAGTAAAAATATACAGGGTGTCCCATATAAAAAATCAAATCTTCTGTTGATAATTCTTAAATTATTAATTTTAAAAAAATTATACTTAAACCATTAAATTCTACGTAAAAAGGTGCTTTGGAAATGTTTTCATAAAAATACAAAATTTTCCATAGCAAAAAAGTTACAGCGATTTGTTAAAAATGCATATTTTTGAAAAACACCCCGTAACTCCGAAACGGTAACAGATATCGATATGCGGTTTTCACCATTTTGTTTTTGACAAAAATTGTGCTCCAGACACCGATATTAGTTTTTGTCTATCTCCTACAGAAAAAGGTGTTTCCATTTAAAAGCGTCGAATTTGACCCACACTGTACAGGGTGGCGCCTCTCATACGCCGCGGAAGCTCCAAGGAGAACGGTAGTTTATATCGAAATGAAATTTTGGCAGCATATGTAGGTTAACTGAGAGCATTTTATAAAAATATATAGAATTATACAGGGTGTCCCCAAAAAAAGTTACACAACAAAGATGTGTTTTTTCTAATGGAACACTCTATATATTAATTAATTTTGGGATTCTAGGAAAAAAATAAAGGTGAGTTTTATTAAAGAAGCACATACCTAAAATCTAAGGATTTTGACATATTTCACATTTTGTGAAAATGAACAGTAAATTTTAAATTTCGATAACAGCTAACTAAATTTTAGTTGACTTTGTATAGCCTGCTTTTTAATTACAGAAATCATTGTATGTTAAACCAAATTGAAATTTGACACAAAAAGTTATACAGGGTGAGACAAAATTAATATGAAACATTAGTCACTTTTAAAAGCAAGTTACTCCTTTATTTTAAACGGAACACCCTGTATATTTTTCCGGTTTTCAATGAGAATTTTTTTTTTAAAATATTATTAAGGTTGCCTCAGACAAAGATTTTCCTAGATATTTTATTTTTTATGATTTTGCGTCAGTAGATCTTTATTATTTGAAAAAATCTAGGTTGCTGTGTGTTATACCTTTTGTTAATTTAACAAAAATTAAAGATTGTAAAGTAAAATACTCAACGGTAATAAAAAGATATACGTTTAAAACATATTTTAATTATTACAGAATTAAAACTAGATATAAACCTATAATTATGTGATAAAAATTAGCTAGACGAAATCAAATGCTCAAAATGCTTCCTTTCCTGTCAACTGCATAAATTCACTGTCTTTTCAAAAGTATCTTTTCATTTTAAAGGCATATGTGGAGTTCTACTTCGAAAAGCAGCTACAATAATTTCTCTCATGTTGTTGACAATAGTTGGTCGAGTTTTGTAAACACTGTCTTTAACATATCCCTATAAAAAACAGACTAGATAAAATCAGGAGCATTTAAGTATTCTATTAATTGGTGAATACACTGCATTCACCAACTAATCATATCAATTCTCTCTGATGTAGGATAAGTTTGTATTTTCGAAAAAATTATGAGAATTTTTTTTGTTTTGACTGACACAAAATGATAACTAGTTGTTAAAGTTGGACTTATTAGACAGCTATGTTGAAGTAACATCAGATATATCACAGCCACCTAGATTTTATCAAATAATAAAGATCTACTCAGATCAAATCATGTAAATATCTAGGAAAATCTTTGTTTGAGGGGTAGGCCAAACCAAATCAAACCAAACCTTAATAGTGTTTTGAAGAGACATGAATTCTCCATTAAATTTCGGAATAATTCAAATAATAAAGATCTACTGACGCAAAATCATAAAAAATAAAATATCTAGGAAAATCTTTGTCTGAGGCAACCTTAATAATATTTTGAAAAATAAAATTCCCATTGAAAACCGGAAAAATATACAGGATGTTCCGTTTAAAATAAAAGAGGAACTTGCTTTTAAAAGTGACTAATGTTCCATATTAATTTTGTCTCACCCTGTATAACTTTTTGGATCAAGTTTTAATTTGATTTAAAGTACAATAGTTAATTTATCTACAAATTAGGCTATACCGGGTAAATTTCAATTTAGGTAGCCTTCCTTTATTGTCATTTAACAATAATAATTGTTCTTTATTTCTAGAAAATGTTAAATATGTCAAAAACCTTGCATTTTAGTCATATACTTCTCTAATCAAACTCACCTTTATTTTTCTCCCAGAATCCGAAAATCAATTAATATATAGGGTGTTCCGTTACAAAAAACACAACTTTGATATGTAATTTTTTTTTGGGGACACCCTGTAGAACTCTATTTTTAAAAAGTGCTCTGAATTAACCTATGTAGGTTTTGTATTGAAATAAAATTTTGTGAGCATATGTATGCTCACAAAATTTTATTTCAATACAAAGTGTCCTTGGAGTCTCCGCGGCGTATGAGAGGCGCCACCCTGTATAAAATTTCCATAACTTCGAAGCCCTCACTGTATACCA